GGAGTTTACCTGGAGAGTGTTCCGGGGGTCAACGCCCCCGCGGGCCGGTATTAATGTTGTTAGAATTACCGACAATATGTTATGTAAAAGGGCACAGTTATAAATAATGACATTTTACTGTGGCAACGTTTCGCTCTCTAGGAGCTTTTATAAAGCTCCTGGAGAGCGAAACGTTCCCACAATAAAATGTCACATTAGTTGCACCTGCGTCATTTTACCTAACATTCATGATCAACATTGTTGTCATAACTGTTTACGTAGCTGACTGGTATATCATATATACACATATATACACATATATACACTGTCCAGCATCCATTATGAATATATTATCACGAGGATAATAATGTATACCTGTTGTTGATTACATATTGTTGTACGTGAAAGTTAAGCTATTATCACTTATAATGTCAATCACATGTACACGGCACACACTAACTTAATATATATAACCGATTACATTCTGTACAGTATTAAAATAATCATTTATATATAATCCATATATCAAGGTAACCAAATATAATGTTACAGCTGCCTTCTACTCTCCCTTCATACTGCCTTCTACTCTCCCTTCATACTGCCTTCTACTCTCCCTTCATACTGCCTTCTACTCTCCCTTCATACTGCCTTCTACTCTCCTTCATACTGCCTTCTACTCTCCCTTCATACTGCCTTCTACTCTCCCTTCATACTGCCTTCTACTCTCCCTTCATACTGCCTTCTACTCTCCCTTCATACTGCCTTCTACTCTCCCTTCATACTGCCTTCTACTCTCCCTTTCATACTGCCTTCTACTCTCTCCCTTCATACTGCCTTCTACTCTCCCTATATGCTGTCTCCTACTCTCCCTTCATACCGGTTTCTACTCTCCCTTATACTGCCTCCTACTTTCCCTTTACACTGCCCCCTACTTTCCCTTTATACCGCCTCCTACTCTCCCTTTATACTGTCTCCTACTCTCCCTTATACTGCCTCCTACCTTCCCTTCGTACTGCCTCCTACTCTCTCTTCATACTGCCTTCTACTCTCCCTTTACACTGCCTCCTACTTTCCCTTTACACTGCCTCCTACTTTCCCTTTATACCGCCTCCTACTCTCCCTTTATACTGTCTCCTACTCTCCCTTATACTGCCTCCTACCTTCCCTTCGTACTGCCTTCTACTCTCCCTTCATACTGCTGTCTACTCTCCCTTTATACTGCCTCCTACTTTCCCTTTACACTGCCTTCTACTCTCTCTCTTTACACTGCCTTATACTCTCCCTTTACACTGCCTTCTACTCCCCCTTTATACTGTCTCCTACTTTCCCTTTACACTGCCTTCTACTCTCCCTTTATACTGCCTAATCAACATTGTACGTGATGAAAGTGTGATCAACACTGTACATGATGAACGTGTGATCAACACTGTACATGAACGGCCAATAGAGGTTTACGACGAGAATAAGAGCCACACTGTAGTAGGTGGTAGGGAGAGCGAGCTACCAGGAACAAAGTTGCTAGTACTAGGAGAGTCAACTATACGGAGATTGACTGGGATCATGGAGGCGACCATACACGACCAGAAGCATGGAGAGAAAAACTTGTGGAAGATGTAATGATAGAGTCAACATGTGAAGGAAGCAACAAGAATGAGAGATGAGCCAGAGAAACTCAAACTGAACCTGAGGTTTACTTGTGTAGCGCTATTTGCTGCTGCTACTACTACTACTACTACTACTACTACTACTAATAATTAATAATAATAATAATAATAATAATAATAATATCTGTCTACAAGGTACATGTACAAGGTATACAGGCCTAACTGACATCAATGACATACTACTATATATAAAGCCCCTTGTTATGCTGAGCATTTCGGGCAAATCAAGTCAGTTCTGTCCCAGGATGCGACCCACACCAGTCCACTAACACCCAGGTACCCATTTTACTGATGGGTGAACACAGACATCAGTTGTCTTATGGAAACATATCCTAATGTTTTTCCTGCCGTATCCGGGGATCGATCCCCGGATCTCAGTGTGTGAGCTGAGTGCGCTAAGAAGCTTTGAGAACCTTGTGGAAATGGGAATGAGAAGGAAATGTAGGGAAGGACTAGCAACAAATGATGTAAAGAGAAAATTTCTAAATGCAATGGTAATGGGAACTACAGGAAGAAACTGTACAAAAAAGAATTATGTTAATATAAAGTGACAAGAACCAAAGGAAGAATTTGTACCAAACAAAGAAAAGAATCAATAAAAGGGAAAGTCCATTGTTCACTGAGGAATGTAGAGGCACCAGGACAAGAGCAAGAGTGTTCAGAAGAAATATAGAGAAAATCAAACTGTAGTAAACCAGAATAAAGCAGGAGAGCCTCAATTATGCAAGAAGAAGGAAGTCTGAAAGGCCGTTTAAAAATTATATAACACTGAAGGCCAAAACAGAACCAAAATTACTCTACTGCCACATAATAATACATACCTTGATGACCAGATGATAATGATTAAGAAAAAAGATGGGACGGTGACAGAATGACAGTGAAAAGATGGGACGGTGACAGAATGACAGTGAAAAGAGCGAAAAGTTCATAAAAAATGTCTTTACATAAGAAAGTGGAAAATTATTAGGGGTGTTAAACTTAATGAGAGGCACTAAAAAGCATCAACACAAGAAATGAAGTGATGAACATAGCAAGTGAGCTGGATGTAACAAGGACCAGATACCATAGGCACTGAGAATAGGAGCATAACCACATAGGCACTGAGAATAGGAGCATAACCACATAGGCACTGAGAATAGGAGCATAACCACATAGGCACTGAGAATAGGAGCATAACCACATAGGCAGCCAATCAGGACAAGTGCCATAAAACTAGAAAAAATGCAAACGAGGTCCTCATATATAAAAATTGAGGAGAGACAAGAGGCACTAGACTATTGGCTGTTATCTCAAGCATACATACTGTCAAATGTGTTGGAGAATACAGTAAGGAAAAAGATACTTAAGCACTTGATCGAAGGAGATTCTAAACTGAAAACCAGGATGGATTTCGAGATGGATGAAGCATGTGAATAGACTCCAGAAGGTTCAAAGGTCTGCAACCAAACTAGTACCAAAACTCAGGGAGGTGCACTATGAGGTTGAAGGAACTGGACCTGCGGACACTGGAGAGACCACAGGCGGATACATGATTTACGACATACAAAATCTTAAGAGGGATAATGGGACAGATGGGAAGTCATAATTAAGATAACCAAGATCAAGGGGATACAGTTGGAAGCTGAAAACACTGGAGCCATACATGTATAAGAAGTGTTTCTTTAACTCATAGGCTGATTGAAAAGCGGAACAACTCGGATGAGGCAGTAGTGGAGGCGAACTTAATTAATACACAGCTTCAAGAGAAGATATGATAAGGTCCAAGAGGCTAGAAATCAGTGAAGTCGATCAAAGTGGTTAAAGAGGCGAGGCCAGATGATCTCGGAACCTGCAAACACAGCTCGGTGAGTACGTACACACACACACACACACACACACACACACACACACACACACACACACACACACACACACACACACATACACACACACACACACGTCAGGAAGACAGCAGCGACTTATGGTACGAGGCGAGGTGTCAGAGTGGGCGCCTGTGACGAGTGGGGTTCCACAGGGGTCAGTCCTAGGACCAGTGCTGTTTCTGGTATTTGTGAACATGACGGAAGGAATAGACTCCGAAGTGTCCGTTTGCAAATGATGTAAAGTTGATGAGAAGAATTCAATCGGACGAGGACCAGGCTGCAGGCCTGGTCCAGCAAATGGCTCCTGGAGTTCAACCCCACCAAGTGCAAAGTCATGAAGATTCGGGAAGGACAAAGAAGATTATAAACCTCACTCGAGGAAAAAACTCTTGTGCTGAGTATAACACCAGGAACATCTCCTGAGGCACACATCAACCAATAACTGCTGCAACATATGGGTGCCTAGCAAACCTAAGAACAGCATTCCGCCATCTTAATAATGAATCATTCAAGACCCTGTACAGTGTGTACGTTAGGCCCATATTGGAGTATGCAGCACCAGTTTGGAACCCAGATCTAGCCAAGGATGTAAAGAAACTAGAGAAAGCGCAAAGGTTTGCAACAAGACTAGTCCCAGAGCTAAGAGGTATGTCCAACGAGGAGAGGTTAAGGGAAATCAACCTGACGACACTGGAGGACAGGAGAGATAGGGGGGACATGATAACGACATACAAAATACTGAGAGGAACTGGCAAGGTGGACAAAGACAGGATGTTCCAGAGATGGGACACAGTTGAAAGTTGAAGACACAGATGAATCACAGGGATGTTAGGAAGTATTTCTTCAATCACAAGAGTTGTCAGGAAGAGGAATAATCTGGGAAGCGATGCAGTGGAGGCAGGAACCTTTCATAACAGAGGTATGATCAAGCTCATGGTTCAGGAATAGCGACCCAGTAGCGGCCAGTGAAGAGGCGGGGCCAGGAGCTATGACTCGACCCCTGCAACCACAACTAGGTGAGTACACACACACGTACACACACACACACACACACACACACGTGGAACAGACAAGGTGGACAGAGACAAGATGTTCCAGAGATGGGACACAGAAACAAGGGGTCACAATTGGAAGCTGAAGACACAGATGAATCACAGGGATGTTAGGACGTATTTCTTTAGTCACAGAGTTGTCAGGAAGTGGAATAGTCTGGCAAGCGATGTAGTGGAGGCAGGAACCATACATAGTTTTAAGACGAGGTATGATAAAGCTCATGGAGCAGGGACAGGGAGGACCCAGTAACGGTCATTGAAGAGGCGGTGCCAGGAGTATCGAGCCCTGCAACCACAATTAGGCGAGTACAATTAGGCGAGTATACACACCACGCCAAGTGTCTACCGACAAGTGCCTCTAACAACTGTTAACTAACATGAAAGAGGTCGTTACAAAGAAGTAAGAGAATAATAAACAGAGGTGGCAGTAAGATAAGTAACTAAGTGTTAGCATATACTTACAGGTCGAAAACCAGGTAGTGGAATGATTCCTCCTGTATGCTGTCATGAAGGCGAACTGTAACAAAGACACACACTCATTATCCTCAGGAATTCACTACACAAACAATTTATTATAGTCTCTCACACAAACAATTTATTATAGTCTCTCACACAAACAATTTATTATAGTCTCTCACACAAACAATTTATTATAGTCTCTCACACAAACAATTTATTATAGTCTCTCACACAACAATTTATTATAGTCTCTCACACAAAACAATTTATTATAGTCTCTCACACAAACAATTTATTATAGTCTCTCACACAAACAATTTATTATAGTCTCTCACACAAACAATTTATTATAGTCTCTCACACAAAAATTTATTATAGTCTCTCACACAAACAATTTATTATAGTCTCTCACACAAACAATTTATTATAGTCTCTCACACAAACAATTTATTATATATCATATATTTATTCATCGCGTGTAAGCACATGAAAACGTTCCGGTTTTCCTATTTATAATTTTTCACCATACTATATAATATATTCTTAGGCATAAAATGTACGTAGTTACATATGTTGACATCCAAATTTTCATTCCGCTCTCCCTCTTTCCTCTATCTTCCGTCAAATATAATATAACATCAAAATTTCCCTTACCTTTCCCCCTCCCGTGTCTTTCCTGTCTCTCATGCATAATTTCTCTTACCACCACTCCACGATGATGGAGATATCGTCATAAAAATTCCATCTCTCCTCCATATGGTGAGCTCGGAGTATTTTGGGCAACTGTATGAAATCAATCGTACAAAACAACTGAGTGCTATTCACAGTTGTTCGTGTCTTAGACAAAATATACCTAAATGAGAATAAATCTGATAGGATAGATTATCATGAGAGATGGCAATTTCCAAGTAAAAGTAACTCCAGCTATGCTGGAACGAAACCGTTCAAGCTGTCATAGCTGATGAACCCTTGCTGGAATGACTGACGATATCCTCATTGCCCTCCTGAACTCTCCCAGATCAGACTGACAGATTTCAACACCTTGTATGAGCCTCATCCTGCATGATGGATTACGGCAAGGAAACGTACCTAGCTTTTGTTCCCACTGTGTAACAATGAAATACAAGACGATAGCAGCACACTGCAGATGTATCCAACTTATTAAAAATAATGCGGCATTTCGGTTGTGTGTGTGAAATAAATTCAGTGTGTTCTATAACTACGTGTGTCTTCATTCCCTGTCTTCTCTAACAAAGTTTCTTCGTCTTTCCTCAGAGAGTATATTTCTCCTAATTTATTTTTAGATTTATTGTTTATATTTATTAGGCCACTTTATACGATACGTGGAAATTGAGGCAGTGTATGTAGGTCCAAACATTTTCTGATTTCTAATGACGATTTGCACATCTCCGGGTGTAAACACCGGCACTCTTCACCAAAGTGGCACTTCCCATTTCCCAACATGTTGCCACACCTCATATGTACTTAAATCTGTATTTCACAGTTGCAAGTACCTCAGACATAAACCTAATATTTTCTATCTTTTTCTGCAACACATGATATCTTGTTTACTTCATCGTGTCGTGAGTTTTCTTCGCTATCCTTCTCTGGGTTGTCTTGGCTACCCTGGTGTGCTGCAGTATTTACTGAATTTTCTTGGTTATCTTCCTCTACCTACAGTTTCGATGGTTTACCATTTTAACTGTCTAGTTCAAGAAATGTTTATTTTCCTCTGTTAAACATCAGCATACCTGTCTCAACCACACTGTTCTAGCCTATCATTCACCATGTAATCTGTCTTCAATTCCTCTTCCCATTTTTATGAGTACTTGATAGGTTCTCCAAGGACCTTGATCCTTATATTACGGGTGCTTAAAGCTTTTCATCTCTCCTACAGATTTAAATAAATTTATCTTCTGAGGTTTGTGAACTAAGCGTGCTAATAACTTCCGAGCAAGAAACATGGAATTTTCTCCAGTACATCCCAGAGTGAATCTCTCTCTCACTACACTTAAACCTTCCTTCACACCCTCCACAGATTTCATCCTAAGACATTTTGACAACTGCTTGTGTAGGACGTGGTTGTGTGATGTGCTATGGACGTGGTTGTGTGATGTGCTATGGACGTGGTTGTGTGATGTGCTACGGGCGATGGGTAATGAATGGCGAGTGATGGGTGTTCACTGTATCTTATAAGGTAGTATTATGGAACAGATCAGATGGTATAACAATTTAGCTAAAAATACTGACTTACTGAGAGCTCTGGAGACGTCCGACAGTGTCACGGTCGTGAACTTCTGGGTATAAGCATGGTGGACTGTCAGCTATGGCAGCAGTACCGGGAGGTATCAAGGGTGACCAATCCTCCCCTCAACACTTACACAACACCCACGATAAGGCTACTTTGCCTAACACCTGATTACCACAGCTACTACCTTCAATGTGTTGTCTTCACTATATGTCACTATTTACGACTTTCTCAGTTTTGCTTCTATAACCATATTCCTGCTACGTTGAAATAATGACTTACTAAGAGATTAGTTGAACCATACCACGGGCGGGGTTAGAACCCGCGATCAGAGTCTCTAAACTCCAGGCCGTCGCAACGGTCTGGAGTGTTGCCTCTCTCTGATCGGGGGTTCTAACCCCGCCCGTGGTATGGTTTGTTTGCAATCATGTCATTACGATTTCCTGAGTCAAGTTAAGAGATTAGTTGATGGGCTATGGCGACCCTGTTTAATGTTCACTAATATATTTATATATACATACTTCATTATTGATCCCTTGTTTATAATGCCAGGGGCTATCAAACAGTTCCCGGAGTGAAGAAATTTGACGGTGGCGTAACAACCCTTTGTAAAATAGCGAGACAAGTTTTCCAGCGGTCGGTCATTCCATTAAGGTTAGATGGGCTTTTTTTTTTGTCGTATTGTCGGTGCACTGTTGCGACTTTTGTATAACAGAAAGTAATCTTTAAAAGAAAGAACAGTATGACTGAAATTTTGTATCAAGCTCAGTAAAATGGCTAATGAAACTGTTAAAATACTTCAGGAAGCATTTGGAGACAAAGCAATGGGTCAGACACAGCGTTTTGACTTTTTCTAGCTTCAAAACTGGACGACCGTCAGTAGTGGATGATGAATGCTTGTGTCATCTATCAACGTCAACAACAGACGTAAACACTGAAAAAGTGAGGAAGGTCATTCATGAAGATCATCGTCAGAATATCCAGTACAACCAGGTAACCTCCAGGTAACCAAGTAACCTCCAGGTAACCAGGTAAGCGCTGTGAGAATTTCTTAAGGGTCGTGTAACAGCATTTTGAATGCAAATGTGAACATGAAGCGAGGGGCTGCAGTCTGTGTCCTGACTGCTGACTTAACACCAGAAAGGCCATTGTTGTCTGTCCAAAAACATGGCGGTCGTCCCCCACCCTCGCTACTCCCCTGATCTAGCTGCCTCTCACTCACTCACTCACTCACTCACTCACTCACTCACTCTCACTCTCTCACTCTCTCTCTCCTCATCTCCTCATCACTCTCTCTCTCTCTCTCACTCTCCTCTCCTCTCCTCTCACTCTCACTCTCACTCTCTCTCTCTCCCTCTCTCTCTCTCTCTCTCTCTCTCTTACTCTCAAAAACAAAAGTGGCACTCAAGAGGCGGGGTTTTAACGACTTGGAGTTTCAAACAGAATTACAAACTGTCTCAGACGCTGTTAGAAAAAGAGCTCAAGAAATGTTTGGAGAAGCAACATAATCACTGGGATCACTTATAGTCTCCCGAGCACTTCATCCTAACTTCAATTAGTTGACTGGGTAACACTATATTTTTCTCCCCTAGCAGTTCAGGAACTTCTTGACAGTACCTGGTATAATTGTGATGCAATGTAAAAGGGGTTACTAGTATAGTTTCTTATATTTGGTATTACTACATTCCCTAAATTTTGGTCTACCTTGTGGCACCAAAATTTTCTCATTCACTTTTACACAAAATTATTTGTTTCCATGTACTTCTCTTTCAAATTTATTTCTCTGTGTCCGTTGGTCTTGTGTGTTTCCTGTTACCACAGGACTCCCTTGTGTGCTTCCTGTTACCACAGGACTCCCTTGTGTGCTTCCTGTTACCACAGGACTCCCTTGTGTGTTTCATGTTACCGCAGGACTCCCTTGTGTGTTTCCTGTTACCGCAGGACTCCCTTGTGTGTTTCCTGTTACCGCAGGACTCCCTTGTGTGCTTCCTGTTACCGCAGGACTCCCTTGTGTGTTTCCTGTTACCGCAGGACTCCCTTGTGTGTTTCCTGTTACCGCAGGACTCCCTTGTGTGCTTCCTGTTACCGCAGGACTCCCTTGTGTGTTTCCTGTTACCGCAGGACTCCCTTGTGTGTTTCCTGTTACCGCAGGACTCCCTTGTGTGCTTCCTGTTACCGCAGGACTCCCTTGTGTGCTTCCTGTTACCGCAGGACTCCCTTGTGTGTTTCCTGTTACCGCAGGACTCCCTTGTGTGCTTCCTGTTACCGCAGGACTCCCTTGTGTGCTTCCTGTTACCGCAGGACTCCCTTGTGTGTTTCCTGTTACCGCAGGACTCCCTTGTGTGTTTCCTGTTACCGCAGGACTCCCTTGTGTGTTTCCTGTTACCGCAGGACTCCCTTGTGTGTTTCCTGTTACCGCAGGACTCCCTTGTGTGTTTCCTGTTACCGCAGGACTCCCTTGTGTGTTTCCTGTTACCGCAGGACTCCCTTGTGTGTTTCCTGTTACCGCAGGACTCCCTTGTGTGTTTCCTGTTACCGCAGGACTCCCTTGTGTGTTTCCTGTTACCGCAGGACTCCCTTGTGTGTTTCCTGTTACCACAGGACTCCCTTGTGTGTTTCCTGTTACCACAGGACTCCTTGTGTGTTTCCTGTTACCACAGGACTCCCTTGTGTGTTTCCTGTTACCACAGGACTCCCTTGTGTGTTCCTTTACCACAGACTCCCTTGTGTGTTTCTGTTACCACAGGACTCCCTTGTGTGTTTCCTGTTACCACAGGACTCCCTTGTGTGTTTCCTGTTACCACAGGACT